AGAAACAAATTTGTAAGAACGTCTCAGTTATCTGTGAGAATAACAGGGTAGTTATGGGAGGGGATTTTAATTTTCCAAACACAGACTGGGAATGCCATAGTGTTAAGGGTTTGGATTGGGAGGAATTTGTTAACTGTGCACAGGAAAATTTTCTGATTCAGTATGTGGATGTACCTATTAGAGAAGATGCAAAACTTGACCTACTCTTAGGAAATAAGGGAGGGGAGGTAACTGAGGTGTCATTGGGGGAGCACTTTGGGGCCAGTGACCATAATTCTAATATTTTTAAAATAGTGATGGAAAGGATGTATCGGATCGAAAAAGTTAAAGTTCTAAATTGGAGGAAGGCCAATTTTGATGGTATTAGACAAGAACTTTCAAAAGTTGACTGAGGGCGGATGTTCGCAGGTAAAGGGACGGCTGGAAAATGGGAAGCCTTCAAAAATGAGAGAACGAGAGTCCAGAGACAGTAAGTTCCTGTTAGGGTGAAGGGCAAGTCTGTCAGGTGTGGGAAATGCTGGATGACTAGAGAAATTGAGGTTTCAGTCAAGAAAAAGAAGGAAGCATATGTTAGGTATAGACAGCAGGGATCGAGTGAATACCTGCAACAGTACAAAGGCAGTAGGAGTATACTTAAGAGGGAAACCAGGAGGGCAAAAAGGGGACAAGAAATAACTTTGGCAAATAGGGTTAAGGAGAATTCAAAGGGATTCTACAAATACATTAAGGACAAAAGAGTAACTAGAGAGAGAATAGGGCCCCTTAAAGTCATCCAAGGCCAACTACGTGTGGAACTACATATTAAATGAGTATTTTATATCAGTCTTTACTGTGGAGAAGGATATGGAAGATAGAGAATGCGGGGAAATAAATAGCGACATCTTGAAAAATGTCCATATTACAGAGGAGGTGGTGCTGAACATCAAATGCATAAAGGTGGATAAATCCCCAGGACCTGATCAGGTCCCTAGAACTCTGTGGGAAGCAAGGTAAGAGATTGCTGGACCCCTTGCTGAGATATTTGTATCATCAATAGTCATAGGTGAGGTGCAGGAAGACTGGAGGTTGGCTAACGTGGTGCCACTATTTAAGAAAGGTGGTAAGGAAAAGCCAGGGAACTATAGACCGGTGAGCCTGACATCGGTGGTGGGCAAGTTGCTGGAGGGAATCCTGACTTACAGGATTTGCATGTATTTGGAAAGGCAATGGCTGATTAGGAATAGTTGATATGGCTTTGTATGTGGCAAATCGTGTCTCAATAACTTGATTGAGTTTTTTGAAGAAGTAATGAAGAGTATTGATGAGTGCAGAGTGGTGGACATGATCTATATGGACTTCAGTAAGGTGCTTGACAAAGTTCCTCATGGTAGACTGGTTAGCAAGGTTAGATCACATGGAATACAGGGAGAACTAGCTACTTGGTTCAAAGGTAGAAGACAGAGGGTGACGGTGGAGAGTTGCGTTTCAGGCTGGAGGCCTGTGACCAGGGGTGCGCCACAAGGATAGGTGCTGGGTCCACTGCTTTTTGTCATTTATATAAATGAATTGGATGTGAATGTAGGAGGTATGGTTAGTAAGTTTGCAGATGACACCAAAATTGGAGCTGTAGTGGACAGCAAAGAAGGTTACCTCAGAGTACAACGGGATCTTGATCAGATGGGCCAATGGGTTGGGGAGTGGCAGATGGAGTTTAAATTTGAAAATATGAGGGGCTGCATTTTGGAAAGGCAAATCAGGACAGGACTCATACACTTAATGGTAAGGTCCTGGGAGTGTTGCTGAACAAAGAGACCTTGAAGTGCAGTTCCTAATTCCTTGAAAGTGGAGTCACAGGTAAATAGGATAGTGAAGATGGCATTTGATATGCTTGCCTTTATTAGTCAGTGCACTGAGCACAGGATTTGGGAGGTCATGTTGCAGCTGTACAGCACATTGGTTTAGCCACTTTTGGAATACTGCATGCAATTCTGGTTGCCCTCCTGTAGGAAAGATGTTGCAAAACTAGAAAGGGTTCAGAAAAGGTTCATGAGGATGTTGCCAGGGTTGGAGGGTTTGAGCTCTCGGCTGAGGCTGAATAGACTGGGGCTATTTTCCCGGGAGCATCGGAGGCTGAGGGTTGACCTTATAGAGGTTTACAAAATCATGAGGGGCATGGATAGGGTAAATAGGTAAGGTCTTTTCACCAGGGTGGGGGAGTCCAAAACTAGAGGGCACAGGTTTAAGGTGAGATAGGAAAGACATAAAAGGGACCTAAGGGGCAACTTTTTCACGTGGAGGGTGGTGTGTATGGAATGAGCTGCCACAGGACGTGGTGGAGGTAGGTATGATTACAACATTTACCAGGCATCTGAATGGGTGTATGAATAGGAAGAGTTGAGAGGAATATGGGCCAAATGCTGGCAAATGGGACTAGACTTATATAGGATATCTGGTTGGCATAGACGAATTAGACCGAAGGATCTGTTTCCGTGTTGTATACCTCTATGAGTGCTGAACTTGAAAAGGACTGCGGCATACTGAGTAGCATTCAATTATCCAAATATTTAAATCCAAATATTTAAATGTGACTAGCTAAAGCTTTGTTACAAAATAAAACTGCCTTAATTGTCAGTTGAAGTATTATCCCAGGAATTGAACACTTCATTGAGGCTTACACTTTGTTTCAGTACTGAGGGATTGTTGCACGCTCAGAAGATAAGGACTGAGTGAGTGCTGCACTGTTGGAGGGACAGTGCTGAGAGTGTGCTGCACTGCTGAATGGGCAGACGGAAGGAGTGCTGAATCGTCAGAAGGTTAGGACTGACAGAATGTTACACTGTTGGAATGGTAGTATTGAGGGAACACTGCAATGTCGAAGGATCAGTTCTGAATGAGTATTACACTATTGGAAGGCCATTTTGAAGAAGTACTGCACTAGTAACTCATTTATAAAATCATTTATATAAATGATTTGGATGAGAATATAGAAGGCATGGTTAATAAGTTTGCAATTTACACCAAATTTGGTGGCATTGTAGACAGTGAAAAAGGTTTTCTCAGATTACAAAGGGATCTTGATCGAATGGGTCAATGGACTAAAAAATGGCAGATGGACTTCAATCTGGATAAATGTGAGGTACTGCATTTTGGTACAACAAACAAGGGTAGGGCTTATACAATTACGGTAGGGTCTTTGGTAATGTTACAGAACAGAGGGACCTAGGGATGCAGGTACATAATTCTTTAAAGAATTGTGTCACACATAGACAGGATGGTTAAAAAGGCATTTGGCACACTTGCCTTCATTGCTCAGTCCTTTGAGTATAGGAGTTGGGATGTTATGATGAGGTTGTACAGGACATTGGTGAGGCCTCTTCTGGAATGCTGTGTCCAGCTCTGGTTGCCCTGTTATAGGAAAGATATTATCAAGCTGGAGAAGGCTTAGAAAAGATTTACCTGGATGCTGCCGGGTTTGAGTTATAAGGAAAGGCTGGATAGGCTGGGGCTTTTTCATTGAAGCATCAGAAGTTGAGAGGTGACCTGAAAGAAGTTCATAAAATAATAAGAGGTATGGATAGAGTTGACGGTATTTTTTTTTCCTAAAATGGGGAATTTCAAGACGAGGGGGCATATTTTTATGGCGAGAGGAGAGGGATTATAAAAGACATGAGGCTAACTTTTTACACAGAGGGTGGTTCGCATGTGAAATGAACTTCCTGATGAAGAGATGAATGTGGGTACAATTACAACATGTAAAAGACACTTGGATGGATATATGAATAGGAAAGGTTTGGAGGGATATGGGCCACGAGCAGGCAGGTGGGACTAGTTTAGTTTGGAATTATGTTCGGTATGGACTTGTTGGACGGTCTGTTTCCGTGCTGCGTGATTCTATGACTATGACTAGAGGGTCAATGTGGAAGGAACACTGCACATTCAATGAGCTGTGCTGAGGGATTGTACTGCATTGTAATAGCAACTTTAGATAGGGAAAACTGCACTGTCAAAACAGCAATTTTGAGAGTTGGCTGTTTTCTCAGATATCAGTACTGAGGAAGTGCTGAACTGCTCAAAGTGCAGTACTGAGTAGTGAGGTTGTGCTGAACTGTCAGAAGGTCAGTACTGATGGAGCACTGCAATGTTGGAGGGGCAATGACGAGGGAACGCTGCTCTGTCCGAGGGTCAATACTGAAGGAACGACGTAGAGTCAGAGGGGTCGTATTGAGGGAGCACTGCACTGTTAGAATATGAGCACTGAGGGAGTGTTGGATCGAGAAGTGTCTGTTGGATGGCAGTTCTGAGGGTGCACTACATTATCAAATGTTGCAAAGATTCAGGTAGATCAACAAAGAAAATCCCACAAATTCCTGGCGATTTTAATAATTTCAGAAAACTGTGTTCGAAAATATAAACAAGTTTGCATTTATAGACCATTTTTATAACCTCAGAATATTTCAAAGCATTTTACAGTCAATGAAGCCCTTTTGGACTGTAGCGTGGTAACTTAGGAAACTGTTTAAAGTATTGCTTGCTCCAATGGATATCATTGAGTTTCACTATTTTCTCTATCATTCCCTTGCTATGGGTCCATAGTCAGCCAATCACTTTGTAAATTGAGTCTACAAAATGGAAACAGAACCTCTGCCCTTCCTATTCACACTGGCATTTACTCTTCATTGTGAATAATGAGCATGGAAAACACTGACATCAGGAATTCAGCAGTGGATAAACAAAGGTAATTCTTCGCCCACAGGATTCAATCCATGAACAAGTAAAATGCAAGACAATGTAGATCACCTGTAAATGAGATCTTGAATCATAGTCAGTTTAAAAACAGAGGAAAAGTGTGGATGCCTCAGGCACATCTTGGGGAAGGTGCTGTTGGGATATCCTTTCTCTGCAAGCCAACATGGAAAGCTCAAGAAGTGACTGCCTCAGTTGCCTTAGATTTTATGCAAAGACTACCTTAAGTCTGTAACACATGGAAACCACATAAGAACTTCTGTATTGCAGTTACTCACCTGACTTTGTCCAAGTGAAATACCAACAACATCCAAGAATCGCTCTATATAAGAGATTATTGCCCCAAACACAGCTGGACTCCTGGGATAGTCTCCTTCCTGTTGTGAACATAAAGAGCTGACCATTACGTATTTTGGGAGGGTCAAACATCAGCACAGAATGCATACAGATTCATTCCAACTGGTTACAGATCTCAGAACTAATACCAACTCTAGATGACCCTGAACTCATCCAAATCTGGATTGCTTAAATGGATATTTTATGTCCACCCAAGGACAGATAGGACCTCTGTTTAATATCTCACCCAATAACACATTACTCAGTGTGCTATTTCCTTAGGACTTTGTCTGACTGCGCAGTGTTCCCTCAATAGTGATCTTCCAAAATGCAGCCCATTCTGAAGTGCTATTAGGAACCTCTCTTCTCAGTAGAATCATGGAGCAATAACCTAGTTAATGGTAATTCCACGCAAATCACTGGTTGAAATTTATTTCGAATACTGTGTGCAGCTTTGGCTGTTCTATTGTGGGAAAATCTGCGGAAGGTTACAGAAGGGATCAGTGCAATATCTGTTGCCTGTTATATTACGCTGCCCACAAGATCTTCTCCTTCATGGAAAACATATTCCTTCTAATTCTTGCAGATAGCAGATTTAATTCTCTCAATATTTCCTGATTGAGTTCTTTGGGATGTGCATCTTCTCAACCTCTGCTTTCTTTGTCCGTCCCTCTTTGATTCAACTGCACTATTCAACACTGACCAATCCCAGATATTTTGCCAATTGCCACGCTGCAATCAGTGGCTGTGGGTATGTTGAGTCACACCTCAAATAGATTACACAACTTCAAACAGCATTACATGGAATGTCCAACACCGACAATGGCCATTCAGCTCATCTGGTTTATGTCAATGCTTATGCTTAACACCACCTCAGCAAAGTTATGATTCGCACTGAATTAGCTTCTAAACTGAAAAGCAACAGCTCATTTCCAATTAATGCACACGAGAATTAATGCTCCTGAGCCTCTCAGGTTTCCCATTCCTTCCCAAGAGAGCAACAACACAAACCATCAAAGCACAGTACAAGACCCCGCCTCACCTCAACAATCCTAATGATGGTTTTGAAAAAAAAATCTAATACACTAATCACGGCCTTACTCTGAATAATGCACTACCTTCACAGGATTGTAAAATCCTAATGGGTTACCTTGGTAACTGCTTGAAGCTGTCTGTTGCCATGGTGAACGAGGTTCATAATTGAATCGGTAGCCCCTGGGGTGTCAAAATCATCAGCAAAGGCAGCCTGCACATTGACTTTAGTTGCATTTAACCTGGATACAAAACAAAAAAGCAAACAACACACAATTTACATGTTAAAAATAAAGAAAGAATGATCCATATATTGTTTAAGCGAAGGCAACAAAGGCATTATAAAATGATTTTTATTGAAAGCATCTGATAATGATTGTGGCCCAAAGAATGAAACCAGAGGGATAACAGTGTGATCCTTCACTCCCAGCAGGGAACATTACTCTCAAGAAAACTGGGCACTGCAGCCATCGGCTTTTGTTTTTGATTAAAATGGAAAATCACAAGTGCTCCCAGAGAATTTGCTTCCTTGGCAGCGGTAGATCAGGTGGTCAACCCCCTCAACCCTACTAGTTTTTGATCAATATGCTGGTGAATTTATTTGAGCTGACATTACAGGAAGATGATAATTTTTAGAACATATTTCTACTTGCTGGATTAACTCAGCTTTGTAACACAGAGTAGAACACGTAGCAACTCAGTGGCGTAGTGAATTTCGAGCCCTTTAAAGAGCTATTTCCTAAAATAAAATTTTAAAAATTCTGAGGGGATCACAAAGTACACAGTGTTTTCGGGTATATAAATGGTCATGGGTTCAAGTCTCACACCAAAGACCTGAGCAAAACAAAAAACTAGGTTAACACTTCAGTGCAACATTGAACGAACTTAGTGCTGCTGGAAGGTTTGCTTTTGGATGATTTCAATGAAAATTGCGGGAAATTTCACTGGTTTCTTCAGGGAATATTTATTGCTTATTACACCTCAAAACAGTTTATCACATTGCTGTTTGTGGGAATTTGCTGTGTGTAAATTGGCACCACTTCCCCAGAATAAAACTTCAAAAATATATTGTTGGTTGTATAGTGTGTTGGGATGCTCTGAAATTGTGAAAGGCATCATAAAAATAAGAACATAAGAACTAGGAACAGGAGTAGGCCCCCTCGAGCCTGCCCCGCCATTTAATAAGATCATGGCTGATCTTTTTGAGACTCAGCTCCACTTACCCACCCACTCACCATAACCCTTAATTCCTTTACTGTTCAAAAATTTATCTAGCCTTGCCTTAAAAACATTCAGCGAGGTAGCTTCAACCACTTCACTGGGCAGGGAATTCCACAGATTCACTACCCTTTGGATGAAGAAGTTCCTCCTGACCTCAGTCCTACATCTGCTTCCCTTTATTTTGAGGCGATGCCCTCTAGTTCTAGTTTCACCTGCTAGCGGAAACAACCTCCCTGCCTTCACTTTATCTATTCCCTTCATAATCTTATATGTTTCTATAAGATCTCCCCTCATTCTTCTGAATTCCAATGAGTATAATCCCAGTCTACTCAGTCTCTCCTCATAATCCAATCCTCTCAACTCTGGAATCAACAGAAAATGCAAGTCTTTCCTTTTGTTTACCATACCTCTCCCATAGTAGAGTTTCATCAACCGATGGGCACATCAACTGTCCTCTCACGTAAGCAGATGCATCATCAATAAAAGCTGAAATGGAGTGCAGAAGATTTCCAGCTTCTGCCATGCTTGCATCACTGTATTCCACAGCTACAATTCAAACAGTACAGATTCAGCAAGGTTCTCCTGTCAGATAATAAACACTTTATTTTAAACTGTTAAAGCTTTCATACCTGATCTGTATTTTGAGAGAAGACAAAACATTCGAAACTGATTTGCAGAGAACTTTTCCAAGAAGTTCTGGTTAATAATCAGAGAAATCACAAAGTTATCATTTGTGAATTACATTATAAAGCAATGATAAGTATTAAAAGCACCATCTGATGAGGCACAGTGAGAAGAATTACTGATTCAAGCACTGCGAGCATTAGGCTGCAACCAGAAAATGTGCTACACAACTAGAATTGAGCTCCCGAGTCCACAAAGAAGTACAGTACAGAAACATGCCTTTCAGTCCAACCTCTTCTTGGTGTTTTTCACATTCCAGTCAAATCTCTCCCTACAACTTATTTCATCTCACCCTAACAACACAGGCATAATTTCACAATCCCCCCCCCCCCCCCCCCCCCCCAGCGTGAGTTTGGAGTCAGGTATGGAGCCTTATAAAATTCTCCAAATGGCATTCAATCCACAATAACCTGGCTGAAATGTTATGCGGTGGGGGTGGGGAAAATGTAAGGCCTATGCTGGTCTGTCTGCTCGTCTCAACTGATGCCTTTAAAATGGGCAATTAATGGTCAGCCTCAATTTTGAGGCTGGTGGGAAGAGGTTTGAAGAGGGTGTCAGGCTGCTTGAGCCTCAGGTGGGAAGCGTAAAGGTCCCTTTCCAGGAGGCACCTCCGCAGGATCACCTGTAGGTCCTCCTTCACTTCCGGGACTCTCCAAGATCTCCACCACCCTCCCCTGCCAATGAATTTCCTCCTGCACTTACATTTATTTGTCAATCTCCTTATTTTTATAATGGTTATTGTATATATAGTGAGTCAGATGAGCCAAATCTCTCAGGATGTGCTACATCTCCTTTCTCCTTTTCTCACTCCCGTCTAGAATCACATCCTTTTTTGCATCCCTAGTAGCAAGATCTAATTTCAGTTGCTTTTTTTTTGCTTGTTTGGGTTCCCCTTCTCATTGCCATCCTGCATCCTTTTCAATTGAGGAAGGGATGTTGCAGTGCTTGAGCTGCAACTTTGGAAGTATGCACAAGGCGAGGCCACTGCTGTGGTGATAGATTACTGTCATTAGGATGGGGGAGGCGCTGGTGGTGGTGAAATTAATGTGCTGCCAAGTATTCCTCAAATATGCATGGTCAGTTTAAGGCTCCTGTGCAGGGCTAGCACAAGTCTTCTCCTTTATGTTATTGTATTTGCGCAGCTGTACAAAAAAAATTGTAAAGACAAAGGCACTCCAGAAAACCAATAGAAAGCATGTTGCTGCAGCCCATCTGTGATTTGCTTCTTGAACGTTGTTGTGCTTAATATTTAAAATACTGGGAGGTGGGGAGGGGGAGGAAGAGAAGGCAGCAATGAGGCTGTAAACAGTTCATCAATGCCTAATATTCAGGCGGTGACATTTGTGAAATCACAATTTCCTAACCTCTGCTTCCAATCACTTAGGCATGTTGCATTGTGTCTGGAATGCCTGGGATTCAACAGGTGATCATACAGGCAGCAGTAGGCCATTTGGTCCTTCTAGCTCGCTCTGCCATTAAAAACAATCATGATTAATCCAATTGTGGCCTCATAGCCATATGCCTGCTTGCTCCCAATAACCTATTTCTCTTTTGGTTTGATTCGATTTATTGCTGTCACATGTAATTGAGTACAGTGAAAAGTTTTGCTTTGCAAGCAGTGCAGGCAGATCATAGCAAACAAGGGCATACAGATCATAGGGTGCTTAGACAGAGCAAGGCATACAAGGTTACAGCTGCACAGGAGGTGCACAAAAGCAAGATCAACATTAGATTTGAAATTAAAGAGGTCCATTCAGCAGTCTAATAGGTGAAGTTTAGACGTGTGGAATGGTTGTAAGAAATGTGAGGATAAAATCTGCTTTAGAGAGCTCACAAAGAGTCGCCTGGTGTCAGTGCCATTTTGGGGTTCTGTTAATCAAGAATGCAGCAAGTGTTGGCAGTTTGAGCAGCTTCAGCTCAAATCGGATGAGTTGGAGGCTGAAAAACAGACACTGTGATGCATCAGGGAGGGGGAGTATTACCTAGATTCTTTGCAGCAGGAGGCAGTCATGCCTCTTAGGGTTAGACTGTCTGTTGGTCAGTGTAGAGGGGTAGGATAATGTGACAGCAAGTCCCATTGGGCAGCAGTGCAGGAGCCACAGTCTTTGCAATTTCCAACAAATTTGAAGTTCTTTCAGCTTGTCTGGATGAGAGCAAGGGCTTCAGGAAGGATGAGTCAACTGACCATGCCACTATGTTACAGGAAGCCACTCAATCTGGGAGTAAAAAGGAATGTAGTGGTAGTGGGGAACAGCAGAGAGAGGAGGATTGACACTGTTCTCTGCAGCAAAGGGCACGAGTCCAGAAGGCTGTACTGCCTGCCAGGTATGACGGCTCATTTGCTCAGGACTGGACAGGAACATAGAATGGGAGGAGTCATTGTGGTTCATGTTGGTACCAAACTTATAGGACAAAGAAAAGGTCTTTGCATATTCAGTATGAAGAACAAAACACTAAATTAAAAAGCAAAGGTCATAATCTCTGCATTACTACCTTAGCCACATGCCATTTTGTGTGGGGGAATCAGGTTAGACAGATGAATGAATGACTCGAAGACTGCTGTCGAAAAAGTGCGTTCTAGTTACTGAGTGCTGGCATCAGTACTGGGAAATGTTGGAGCTGTTCCGTTGGGACGGTATCCACCTGAACGATGCCAGGGCCAGTGTTCTTGCCAACGCCATAGGGAAATAGAGAGGATATTAAACTGAATAGTCAGGGCAAGGAATCAAATTTGGCAAGATGCAACAAATAAAACAAGGGACTGAAGGCAAATAGAAAGGTATTAATACAAAGATAGACAAAGACTGTGACAGAAAGGAATAGACAGTATAAATCTAAAATTCAACCAATAACTAAGACTAGGATTTACAAAGGAAGCAAAAGGATGATACCAAAGACTCTGAATGCGCTCCGAATTCTGACTGTGAATAATAGTAACCTTCGAAACAAATTGGATTAACGTACAGTGAAAATAGAAGTAAGCATGTAGCAGCCAATTCAGAGACGCGGCTGCCAAATGTATCTGGAAGGGTATATGACACTTGGAAATAACAGGAAAGTAGGAAAAACATGGAGGAATGGCTTTGTTAATTAATGATGATATGAGCACAATAGAGAGTGGTTACCTAAGGTCAGGAAACCGAGTAGTAGAAATAACAGTTTATAAAGGCAATAAGTCACTTGCAGAAGTGATGTACAGGCCCTCTGACAGTAACCAAAGAGTAGAGGAGGCACAAAGGAAGAAATAATGAGAGCTTGTCAGAAAGACATGATGATAATCATGCTAGATTTTAATCCACATATCAACTGGGAAAGTCAGAAGGGCAAACGTGACATGGATGAACAGTTCATAGAATGTTTTCAGGACAGTTTCTTGAACACCATGGAGCTGACAGGAAAGCAGGAAGTACTAGACCTGGTTCAATCAAAATTTAATTTAATTGAAATAGGATTAATTAATGATCACATTTTAAAGGTGCCTCCTAGACAGCAGCAGTCAGAATATGACTGGATTTTACATTCAATTTACGGGAGAGAGGAGTGGGTCTACAACTGCCTTTAAATTCTTAAATAAATACAATCTTGAGGGCATGGAAGCGGGGAGGGGGAATTTTCCACTGATGGGAGTTGTAGTTGTTGGAGATCTGTAATCTCAACTCCAGGTCAGAGGCTAAGAATCCTTCAGCAAATAAATCACCTCTTGATGCCTCAAAGCCTGAGTAAAGAATGTGATAGACTTGACTGGATGAGTACCTCCCCAATAACACTCAAAGAGCTTAGCACCATCCTGGACAAATCAACTATTTAAAGGCCACCACCTCCACCAACATTCACTGACATACAGAAGCAGCAGTGTTTACCATCTACAAAATGCACTGCAGAAATTCACCAAAGCTCCATGATCACTGCCATCTGGTATGATAGGAAAGCAGATGCATGGAAACACAGTCTCCTGCAAGTTTCTGTCCCAGTTATTCATCATCCTGCCTGGGAAATATATCACCATTCCTTCCACGTCACTGAGTCAGAATCCTGGAACTCAATACCTAAGAGTATCCCTACACCAAAGTGCAGCAATTCCAGAAAGCAGCTCATCACCACCTTCTCAACGGCAACTAGGAACCAGCAACAAACTCCACAGGTACCGACATCCCACTAAATAATTTTTTAAAAAGCTAGCTAAAGTGATTTGACAAATTAGGTTCAAGGATAGATCAATAGTGATGCAATGGCAGATATTTAAAGGGATATTTCAGAAAACATACATTTCAATGAGGAAGAAAAATTCCAAGGGATGGACCCACCATCCATGGTTAATTAGAAATATTAAAAATAGCATAAAACCTAAAGAAAAAACCATATAATTATGCAAGCACGTGGTAGCTTAGAAAATGGATAGAGTATTTAAAAATAGCAGAGACCAAGAAATTAATAAAAAGAAAAACTTGAGTATAAGAGAATACTACCCAGAAATAAAAAAAAAACAAATAATAAGAGTTTCTATAAATGGTTAAAATATTGAAGTTAAGAAAGTGAGTGTTGGTCCTACTGAAACTCAGACTGAAGAATTAATAAAAGAAAATAAGGAAATAACAGATGAATTCAACAGGTACTTTGCATCCATCTTCACTGCAGAGGATATGTAATATCCCAGCAGCATGGATGAATCAGGAAGTGAAAAGAAGAAACAACTCAGGATAGTTGATGCACTGGTTCTGATCTTCAAAACCGTCCCTTGATGTGAGATAGTTTCATTTGATTGGAAGGTAGTGAAGGTAATGACATTATTCAAGAAGGAAGACAGAAAGCAGGAAACTACAGGCCAGTTAGCTTAACATCTGTCGTAGGGAAAATGTTAGAAGCTATTTGTTAGAAAAATTCTGGCAGCCCACTGTTCAAGCCTAGATTTCAAGGCAATCAGGCAGAGAACTTTTTGAGTGGAAAATCACGTTCGACCAATCTGATGGAGGTCTTTTAGGGTCAACACATGTTGAGGTTAAAGAAGAACCAGTAATATATTGAACTTGAATTTCCAGAAGGCATAAGGT